AGAGGTGAAGAAGGTCAAGAGGATGTGACATTACTAAGGTCATAAAAGTGATGCAGGAAGAGGGTGGAAGTACAGGGAGTAAGTTGCATTCGTTATGATTACTATACGAGTAAATTACAAATTTGTTCCTTACGGTTTGTCCCAATTTGCATTTTTAGTCCAATTTTTTTATTTTTTTGGTATGATTGGTCACTGTGGTTTCCAAAACCCAGTTAGCGTTAGCTTCTATAATGCTCAGTTAAAGGCCTGCAGAATGGGTATAAGAGTATTATATCCCTCCTTTTAATTTTTATGTTATTTTAGAAGTTGTTTTAAATTAATGGACTGTTTCTATAAAAAGTGGAAAATTAATTAAAAGCCTAAAAGAGTCACCATCACCGTCGAGTATCACCCTTTTCCGTCGATGCTCTACAACTCCACCCTCCAGCTCCTTGCGGCGACTCTGTCTCTCCTACCGCCGCTCTACTCCTCCGATCACCTCTACATCTTTTTTAGCGCTATGGTCTACCCTGCCTTCCAGATCTGTCCAACACGACGTCGCTCTGGTCACAACTTGTCATTATTGCCGCCGGTTCCTTCTCCGACCTTGAAATACTCTTCTACGGATCTACCATTACATTTAAAAGAGAAACCTTATAATCTCCATTCACCGACCTCCTATTTCTTGATCAATTAATTAAGGTAGAAAACCAAGAGTGGATTCATGTGCTGGATTTTAGACAATTTCAGATGGATGTTTGCAGATTTGGTGAATAATTCAGAAGGGAAACCGCTTGATACACTCACATGAGTTATAGTCGTTATTTGTACCATCATTGTTAGAATCTCCCTATTCGACCAACGTATAATCCATTACGCCAGCAAAGTCTGAACTTAAGTTTTTCCTTATATGTGAAATGGGGTTTGATTAACAATTCGGGAATTTGAGTGAGAGAGAACAGAATACGAAAACAAATTCCAACCTGTTTGGTGTTCTTGGTCTAGGTTCAAATCTGATTTCATGAGAAATACCATTTTTGAAAACTCATGGGAGATTTTTGACGAAGAATATCAAGTCAGCAGGAGGGTGTCGACGAAGACGATGGCGAGTGATGGTTGCTATGGAAGTGAGTGAAGAAAGGGAAGGGGTTGCAATGAGTATGAAGGAAAAAATTAAGTGGAAGGGGCTGCAATGGGGTAGGAGTTGTTCTAGGGAACCGATGTAATTGGTTGTGGTGTTGATTGTGATCGACGACGGTGGTGATGGTGGTGATTGATGGTGGTGCTGGTGGCCATTGGTTATTGGTGGTGGGAATAGTGGCGGGTTGATTGTGACCATTTACAAAAGTGATCCTTATAATTTAGAAAAATGATCAAATGACGGGTATAATAGTCTTTTATTTCTGACTTAACATGTAATATATAGCGAAGTTAGTCTCATGACCCCACTACAAGATTTGGAAACATAAAGACTAGTCATGTCAAAAAAATAAGTTAGGACTAAAACTACACATTGGAAAACCGCATGGAGAAAATCTGTAATTTACTCTTTAATAAAATCTACAAGGGATTGGATCTTCTCTTTCTACTCACCCAGTCCTAGTACACACTATTTTGGGGTTCCCTTTTTCCCATTTTCGTGTAAAGAATGGAAGAGGTGGGGCTGGGGATTGTATCATTCATACGAGTAGCATGGATCTTTGCTACATTTCCAGTTGCCGTAGCCTGTTTCCCATTGCCTGGGCTTGGTTGGTTTCGCACAGCTCTATTGGCGATTGCCAAAAGAGGAAAGATTCTGCAATCCAAATCTGTAAGTGAAACATGTGCAATTTCTAATAATAGGAATAAACCACATAGTCATCCTTATATATTTATATCCGATCTTTCTCTTTTTATGCATTTCAGAAACTAACCGTGCCTCAGAGATTCTTCTTTCACTTTTACGTGGTGGGGGTTTTGTGGACGACAATCTTGCTTGTTTCAGTGTGGTCTTATGCAATGAGAGAACATGTAAACAACGTTTGGCTATCTGTGTTTCTCCTTCTTCTCATGGAAGTTCAAGTTTTGCGACGCTTCTATGAGTCGATCTATGTTTTTAACTACAGTCCATCAGCTCGAATGCACATCTTTGGTTATCTTGTGGGGATATTGTAAGTTTCTTCACATATCTGAAACGTAACAGCTATGTTATTCTGGATTCTCAAGATTCTTTGCTAATATATATTCAACTGATCTTTTCTATAAATTAGTTTCTATGCACTGGCTCCACTCTCCCTATGCTGTAATTTTGCACCTCAAGTCTTTGACTTTGTCAGTGGAAGGGTTCACATGTCGAGGCCTGGATTTGATAATATATGGATGTTTGTGACTCCTTTCTTGAGGCTTCCATGGTATGCGTGGATAGGTGCTGCTATTTTCTTATGGGGTTGGGTACATCAGTTTCGTTGTCATCAAATCCTTGTAAGTTATTTCCAATTTGAAGAAAAGTTGTGTACTTTCTTGTTGTTTTAACCTTGTGATAATTAGGGTTCCTTGCGAGAGAAAACCGAAAAGCTGGAGGAGTACGTTATTCCGTATGGAGATTGGTTTGAATACGTATCGTCTCCACACTACACGGCTGAAATTGTAAGTATTTCATGTGTGTTCTATAACCTCCGTTTTTCAACATAAAAAGGAAAGCTCAAGTTACAAGCGATTAATGTTGATGATGAAGGTCATCTATGGTGGTCTTGTGGTGGCTAGTGGTGGTGCAGATCTCTCTTTGTGGTTGGTTTTAGCATTTGTGGTATGTTTTTTACATTCCCCTACCACCTGAATTCAATATAAGTTCAAAAATTTCACCCTGATATATATCTTGCAGGTGGCAAATCTTGCTTTTGCAGCAATAGAAACACAGATATGGTATCGCCATAAATTCGACAATTACCCTCGTAATCGATGTATTATTTTCCCGTTTGTTTATTAGCGACTTGAACTTTGAAGATCAGAAGATGCTTGTGTATGTTGTTCGCTTGGACCATCTTATGCATTTCTGTGTTGTTCGCTTAGACCTCATTTAATTTAGAGAGAATAATGTCATTTGTCATCTATTTCTCACTCCATATCATCCACATATAAACATATATTTTATAAAGCTATATTTATTTCTATTTCTTTTTCGGATGTTAAAATATCGTCACGCCATTTAATTTATCCATTCAATCTGTATTTTATTACATTAATGCAATATGAACGTTAACAAATAAAATCTTAGTTGTATACTTGATAAACATAATCAATATAGATTATTTATAAAACTTAAAAAAAAAAAAAAAAAAAAAAAAAAGGAGGGTGTTTAGGATTACTTAATTATTTGAAGTGTTAACTAACCTATTAACTTATTCCCTTTGGCACTAGCGATAAGTAGTTTAAGTTTTTTGTGTTTGGATAAAAAACTTTCTATAAATATTTATTAATTTAAATAAAGAATTTTTAATAAGTTATTTCTTAGTTAGACTTATTTGCCAATGTTTTGATAAGTTGTTTTATTTTTACACAAACAAATAAGTGTATCAAATACTAAAAATAACTTATCAACTTATTTCCTTTTATATTTCATAAATTAATCCAAACACTTTTTCTATTAATCCAAACACTTTTTCTAAAATTATGTTTTGACACTAAATTAGTTAATAAACACATTCACGATAAACATAAGTTGTTTTAATAATCAATCTAAAATACCCCTTATCCAAAAAGTTTTCAAAACTAACATTTAATATTGGTTGTTTTAATAATCAATCTAAAATACCCCTTATCAAAAAGTTTTCAAAACTAACATTTAATATTCGTCTCATTGTGAAGGTGTTCGTTTCCTATAAATAATTTATAAATAATATTTATCCGATTTTTATTAAGTATTTAGAAAAATAAAACAACAAGATTACATATCGCTATTGAATTGTAGGAAATGTCATAATCATAGCTTTGGTCATAGTAGGTTTAAATTATATGAAAATATTTTTGCTCTCTGAAATTTTGGATTTTGAATTATTTTCAAATTTTAAATGTATTTATGGATTAATCTAAAGAACGATTTTGCCTGCTGCGTGTTGCAGAGACTCCAAATCGTTTTATAAATTTATTTTGACGATTGTATTGATAAAAAAATATGTATCTTTGTATGTATTGATACATAAATATATAAGATCGGTGTCGGATGAAAATGTATGATGTATGAGCAAATTCATACATAGGAAAAATGTCTAAAAAATAAGCATGAAAGTTAAAGTAACTGAAATTTATACTGAAACATACATAAAAATAATGTAACGACCCAAAAACAGTGATATATATATATATATATATATATATATATATATATATATATATATATATATATATATATATATAAACCATTAATTTCATTAATCATATATCTCCAAGTCAAACACAATATGCAATATCAAAAACATCATAGTAAAAATATCCAAAAAATGTGGAAATCATAAGGGGATGATGTTATGCCATCACGTCGGACTCTTCCCTTTCATACCTAAGTACTTGAAACCTTAAATGTAAACTGTAAGCACAAAACTTAGTGAATTCCCCAAAGTACCACATATCAAACATATAATTAGGTCTAGCCTTGGAGTATATTCCAACCTAATACATAATTACGGGCCTAGCCATGGGGCCCAACCCTAGGTTTTTTTCCAACCCAATCATACAATAATGGGCTCAGCTCTGGGGTTTATTTCAACCTAGCATGGAAACACATAAGAGCCACAAGCATCTAGCATCATACATACATAATTTAATGGGTCGACATTGGTGCATTTGACCCACAAGCTCAGTGATAAGACTCATCTCTAACTGAAGATCATCGAATCGTACACTCGAGTTGTTGCTAACACAGCTCCTCACATTAATCATAACTCAATAACAACCCTAATTATGAATTAGGATTTAACCTATAATTAATATATGTTTAGTTCTATGAAGTGTTTTATTGCCGAGAATCCACATGAACTTTTAAATAT